TGAATACTGATTATATAAATAAAGGGAGCGGTGTATTAGTACACAGTTCAATTGTACATATCATTCACATCGGCCTATTTCTAGTAATTTTTCACTGCTTCACCAATGAGATTATATTATTTTAAATTAACTAGTTAGAAACGTGGGCAATCGATATACACACATAAATAAATATGATGAACAGTTACTGCCCCAGTCTGAGAACTGTGATTGATTCAGTTGACTGATAAAATCGTTTCTATTTTATTTTTTCGATATATTATAGAAAGAATATATTCTAATGTACATGTATCTCATTTATGTAGAAAGATGGAAGAGCAGATTTGTGACCTGTTAGAAATTTCTTCTCCAAATCGGACGTTTATGTAAGTTATCTATGTTATCACTTAAATTTAAAAAATATATATTGTTTTGTAATATTTATGTAATAATTTTTTATATTAAATATTACACAAAACTTATTAAAATATTTATATTAAAGCCAGTGTTCAAAGATTTTCAGCAAACTTTTTCACGAATAATGTATAAGCTAATGAGCATTTAACTTTTTGTCATAAAAATAATTTTTATAATTATTCCTCTTTGTCTAAATTTAGAGGAAGCAAGCGCTTTTTCTTTCTCCATGTATCTCCTTTTGTACATTCACTTACATATATGGACAGTATTCATATAATTGATTTTTATATTTTAAGAATGTACTGATTTAAGAATATATATGATCATCTTAAGTATGGTTTTAAGATCTCATAAATCACTCTCATCTTATATTAGCATCTTAAAATATTACTTAAGATGATCTTAAAATATGAACGGACTATGACAGATATTCATAGTTCGTTTTTATTTTGAGTCTTATTGGCTGTCTACAGTAGGAGAAATTGTTGTAAGCTATAAGAAATTAATCATTTATATATAGTCGATTGTTCTCCTCATATTCAACTGTGATTGATCGATTTCTTACGGTTTACATAATTTACTATACTGTATTTCTCTCATTAAACAGCCCTCAGTAAACAGCCCTTTAAGTAATGTTTTAAAATGTTAGTACTATTCTGTAATCGATTTAAAACATTTTAACACTGTATTTATTAAATATAGGAACTGACTATGAATACTGATTATATAAATAAAGAGAGCAGTGCATTAGCACACAGCTTCAATTACACATATCACTCACATCGGCCTGTTTCTAGTAATTTTTCCCTGCTTCACCAATGAGATTATATTTTAAATTAATCAGTTAATAACGTGGACAATATATAGATATACACCCATAAATAAATATGATGAACAATTACTGCCCCAGTCTGAGAACTGTGATTGATTCAGTTGACTGATAAAATCGTTTCTATTTTATTTTTTCGATATATTATAGAGAGAATATATTCTAATGTACATGTATCTCAATATGTAGAAAGATGGAAGAGCAGATTGCGACTTGTTATAAATTTCCTCTTCAAATCGGACATGTAAGTTATCCATGTTACCACTTAAATTTAAAAAGTATATATTATTTTATAATATATATATATGTAATAATTTTTGTCAGTAATTAATTAACGATACACGCATGATGAGAATATAAACAAAACCGCCTACAGTCAATCTGAATGCATGTGACGCAAACGTTATTTCTGACAAATATTAATTTTAATGAGAAAATAAAAAAAAAAGAGATATACATATGTTATATATGTAATATATTTTTTATTTTAGATATTCACCTGAAAAATGGATGAAGATAAAACTTAATCACAAGATGAGAAACTACGGCCAGTATTCATAGTCTGTTCTTAATTTCAAGGCTACTTTAAATAATGTCTTAAAATGTTTTTTGATTGATTTATGGCATCTTAAATCAATCATCTTAAATACTTGTTTAAAATGTAAACTTGTGTAAGACTTATTTCGAAGCTTGACTTGAACAACATCTATGGATTCCTCAAAAAGAATTATGTAAGTCTAAAATTTCTTAATAAAAGAAAGAAAAGTTGTGTTGTAAAAGTTAACTTTATTATCTAGATAATTAAGACGTGATGAATAAATAGTTATCCCTGTCTTACGTAAAACGTGGTGATAAAATGATTTCCTGATATATTAATATGTATTACTGATAACACAATTAAAATAAATAACCTTCAAGACTAACGGAAATAATTTTTTTCAGAATGTGAGAAATATGCAAGAGAACGTGTAAGGAAAAATTTGAAGATGTTAATATTCATTATGCTCATAATTGCAATAATTGCAATACAATAATATAAATTGTACATCAAAATGACATTTTTTTGAGCATTTTTTACAAAGTAAGGATTGTTTCTTGTTTTTAATACATTTTATTAATTGTATGATGATTATAAATTTGACAAGCATATGTCTGAGAATTCCTTGCTGCTAACTTTTAATCTGATATCAAAATGTAATTATTTTCATTTTTTTTTTTGTAAAAATATTGTATATAAGGAATATTTTGTTTTAATTTCAGACTAATTAATTTGTAATGCGGTAACAATGCAATTGTGAGTATGGATATGTGATCCGTATAGATATTATTTGAAAGTAATAGTGGAAGAGACAACAGCGTTTGAGCTTGCAGTTGAAACTACAAAATTTCAGCTACTATATAAATAAAAGCGATAGATTTGTCGCTTATTTCAGCAGTGAAATTGTACCTTAAATCGTGATATTATAGTTTATCTTATCAATGGACTGGAAATTCATAGGAAATGGAAAAAAAGAATATAAAAATTTCCTCTTTGATCATCTAAAACCTGGGAGCCACTATTTATGAGTCAGTTGTTTTTGCACGGAGTCTCACGTCATCACTATTTGAAAGTAAATATTAAAGAAAATAATTAAATTACATAAATTATATTAGGAATATCATAAAATATAAAATATGATGTTATTAATTATACGCTATACTGATTTTCTCTGATTGGTTCTTGCCCTCGCTGATGTTATTGTTAGAAAAAAAAAGAATTCTCTTTTTTATATTCGATTGTAAAATTATTATTTTGATTGCAGATGCGCTATATCAAATGGGACCTTAGCACTTTAAAAGAATATCTGATGTACAGGTAACAAATCGTTAACATTAGTATAGTTTATATAACGTCTAAATTTTTTTATTAATATTTATAATATAAAATCAAAAGAGATTTAAATCATTGCAACGCAAAGAAAAACTAAAACGTCAGGAAACATTCATGATATTTATGTTATATTTTTTAATGATGTTTTTATAAATATACGCTATGATGTGTAGTGATAATTAAAAACTTACTGAAACAATAGATAAATAAAATAAATTGTAATTAGTTTTAGTATATTTTGTTACTTGAAAAGTTTGTTCTACTTTTTAGGAAAAGAAAATGGAAGGTAAAAGGAAATATGGATCATAAGTATATGATAAATGAGATGAAATAAATAGCGAATATATTCATAGAAATATGATTCTTTTATTGGAGAACCTTTACATCTAAGGTACAAAATGCAAAGTAATACGCGTTCCTCTTGGACTAGATACCCATTCAAGAAATAGTATTAATGGCGTAAGATTGCAAATTTGTATTAGCAGTTGTCGACTCGTGAACATTGTACGCAATGCTATCGCCAGATATCTCATTCGTACGTACGTACGAGAAATATCACATTGATTTCGTTAATTTTCGTTTCATGGAACAACGTAAATAATAATTAAGGTACAACGTAAATAATAATCAAGATCTTGACAAATAAAACTATCCTCCAAAATAAAAGAGGCGGATCATATTATCTCGATTCCCAAAATATCCAAACTTTATTATGTATAATATTTAATATCATGATATACGCTTATTGAAATCGATCCTACTTTAAGTGAACGCGTGGTAAGGTCTGATCGATCACAGAGAGCTGATAATAATTTAGCGCTCGGTGCATAATACAAGGACGCGAGGAATACAATCTCAAAATTATATATAATATATAACGTAAATATACAATACATAACAGAGGGTGTGCCAGCCAGCCAGGCTGTCCCAGATAATCAATATGTAGCGTGTAAAGATTCAAAAAAGTACTTATTCTAAATCGCCAACGAACAGCTTACGGTAATACCTCTATCTTGTATCTAAAGTGTGCAATGCTATTACGACTATGTACATTATAAAAATCACACACGCTTGCGGGCAAGTTGGTCACGTCTATATACTTCTGTAATAATTTGTCGGCCGCATCGAAGGCCGGTGGAATGGAAACTCATGTTCTCGTCCTTGACGCCGCCTAATCATTTTCTCAAACGTCATGATCACCACATGAACAAGAGATAAGATCAAGTGTTCCATGGAATGAACAAGCTAATTGATATTGTGTTCGTTCTTGTCCCTTCGTGAATCACATTGGTAAGAATTTCCCGTCAGACGGTGCAGAAATAAATTTCCAACATTGTCGATGATATTACAAGATACGATTCTAACATTATGAATTTCGTTCACACAGTTTATAACTAAACTCTTTTTGAATACGATATATTCCTTATTAGATAAATATTCTTCCATAGTGTGAGTGTATTTCCATGTTCGTAATGTAGTACTGTCATGTGCCAATGGCTGCATTAACAGAAAAAGTAACTTTTCAATTATAAGATTCTTTAATATGATTATTGATTTATACATTTAGATATAGTGAGAAATTAAGGGCAAGATTAATCATATCAAAAAATGATACAGTTACAAAGTCGCTTTCTTTGCTGAACACAGCTATTGATCAATAAGTTAAAAAATTAGATTTGGTCATCTTGTTTTTAACGATAATTTCATACGAATCCAAGAAGGAGTGGGTGCACTTTGTGTTCCACAATCATATAAAAATTTCATTTTCTTCTATATATGGAATATTTCTTAAAGATGTAAAAAGATACTGTAATGATCATTACAAATCTCTTTACAGTTATCTATAATTACGATTAATATTAATGAATATATTAGTTTATACATTTTAGACACAAAATACCCTTCCTCTCTCTTGAAAGATTCATAATATTTAGATGTTTTGAGTGCACTTGCATTTGCGTCGATATGGTTAGACATAATTTGTGTCGCATGTCAAGCTCTCAGGATTTTTATTCTAACACCCTGTGGTTTAGATCGTTAATCATACGATATAAAATTACGAACATATCTTGTTTCTGTCCTTTCAAAGAAATAGAAACTTCTTGTCGATAAACTTTAGCGTTCCAAAGCTAAAAATTCCGAAATTTTTCTGTCGAATGAATCAACATTCATTTCCATTACATGGCTATCTTCCTGAGGGACCACTAGCACCTTTTGCAGAATATTTATATGAACTACGGCACTTTTGACCGCTGCCGTTCGTTATACCGATATATTATACATCATATCTACATTGAGCATGTCGTTTGCCAGCTGTCACAACTGGAGTCGGTAATTTGTGATAGGATCGAAGTCTTTTTGGTGAGTGGAATTTAAGGCCATCACGTATCCCCACAATTGCATAGCGGTCGCGCATACCTTCTGTATTTCACGGACCTCTTCGAAGTCCAAGTCGGTCCTCCAGTGAAATGGCGCGACCTTGGAATTCCGGAAAGTGCTTGACACACCGCCCACATCATTCTTCGTGTGCGTATCCAGGAATTTCTTCACGTTTACGTGAAAGTTCAAACCGTAAAAATTGTAAAGCTCCTGTACGTGCTTATAAGGATCCACAGACAAATCTTCGTAACGCACTACTCTGTTTATCACACACGAAGATTGAATTTGAGTCAATCGTATCAATTAAAAAAATTATCTACTAATAAAGTAAGTGATGATCTTAACAAGTCGTTTGAAAATGCGTGTAAAATAAATTTTTGTAAATACCGAATATATAATTCGGAAAATTTTTTAATGATATGTGCAGTGCTATACCTGAAAGAACGGGGATATTTTTTCGACAGTTCTACTGCCGTGTTGAAGTCCGATACCATGTCTCCGCAGACCAGAGCTGGATCGGAGCAATCGGGTTTAGCAGGACACCATTCCCTATGCTTTCTGGATTGCAGAATGCCTCTCGGATCACGAATGAGTAGAACTAGTCGTACACCTAGACTGCAATATAAATAGACACATATTTTTATAGTTCAAAAGAATATAATGTTTAAATTAGATAAAAAATGTCTTCTTATGATTGTTATATTTCATATCAATTTCTTACTCTTCTTCGGCCAAAAGACTCTCTGCCGCGTGCAATCTCAACCGTACAAGCTTCATCGATTGGAACGGAAAGAGTCGGCAAAACTTGGAAACGAAACGCGGATCCCAGCAAATGCGTTTATGTGCTTGGCATTGCCGCCATAAATGCGTATTATGATTAAATACCCAATGATGAGTCTTCCCATAATCCAGGTACCGATCTATTACGATAATTACAATTGTATGCAATCATTAAATGATGCGCCTTCAAGCGAATAGAAATTTAAAGATGTGTGAAATTATATACCGAGTTCCTTGTATTCACAATTCAACAAAGAGAGTATCCTTGTCAAGGATTCTTCGGCGAGTGGCGACCCTCGGATTTGTACAATTCCATAGTCAAGTAACGGTTCGTAATGATAAAAATTGGCCGGATGCGCGTTTACCACATCACCGAGGAACGTGCTGCCACTTCTCCAACTCGTCAAAATTATGCTTCTCATAGGTCTACCACCCTTCTCCATCACTAAATCTTCAAGTTTACTATAAATATATAATAAGTAATGATTAAATGTTTCAATGTTCGAAGTTATGTTCTGGTGCGTATACTTTACCTCACATTTATCCCATATTTTCCATTTGGATATTCATAATTTTCCATTTCTCTTTTAATCGCCCTCCTTTGTTGATCAACTACCTCTTGAATTTCGGTGATCGTGGCATTGTCCGTGGATCCTGTAATATACGCCTAAAAAACAGATTAGGGCCAATTACTAAATAGAAAATTTACTCGCTATTTGTTAGCAACATTACATAAATGCAGTATTAAAAGTTAGATCTTCGTAACAGGTATGCGATAACATATCCTAAACAAGAATAAATAGAAATAAATTCACATTTTGAAATTTAATCACATAAAAGCAAATTTCTACAGCAAATTTCTACAGTCGTTCAATCACTTCATTAGTTTTAAAAAGACAAATTTAAAAATTGTATGAATTATACGAGTGTTAATTTATTTTAAAACAGTATTTATATCTTCATGTTTTTATATTTAAAAAATTAAATTTAAAATGTAATAAAGATAATAATTATCATTCATATTTCACAACAAGCAAAGTAGACATTTAAATTCATAATATAAAAACAAGAAAAATGCATTAGTAAAAAGCTAACACAAGTAAAAATACATATACAATAAACAGTTATAGATGCGTTACAAAATAATAACATAATTCAATAAGTAAATCTTAGTATTCATGCAATAAAGGATAAAGTTTTAAATTAAAACGCGAATTAATTTTCTTTTAAAAATATAAAGTACTTCTGCTTTTTTACTTCTATCTTATTTGCTTCTATTGGTTAAAAACAACGTCGTTAATAATATTTTTAAAATACGGTTTAAGAAGTAACAAAAATATACATTTTATTATATACATTTTATATACATTTTATTATATGTTAAAATTAGTAAACATAGAAAAAAAATTGGTAATAGAAAAAAGAAGTTCATCTGTAAGAAGGAGCTGTGATGCTTATTTACGCTTTACATTATGTTTACTGTGATAAGATAAGGCATTCTAATGATAAATGGCATTCTATCAGCAAATAGTCATTAATAACAAGTGGTAGCATTTACGCATTCAGATCGATACGTGCATACCTGGCTTACCGTTACCGGTTCTTGGATTTTGGTGGTCCGCGGCCTTATCTCAACATCCTATATCAAGGAAAAAAAAAGCATCGACGTTTTAGCGTTTCTATTGTGCGTCTTGCATTGTGTACACGAATATATTGCTGTTGGAATAATCGTGATATGAGATAATGATCTTTTTCCCTCTTTCTCTAGATAGCATGTTAATGTTTTCAAAGGATGCAAGTGCGAGCAGCGAGATTACTCAAGTATTGTGAATCTATTGTATCGTTAAGAGTGAAAGTAAATGATAAAAAAGTGTTAGTTTTCGCGCAAACATGCTGGGTATCGATTATGTAACTTTTTTCTTTGAAACGGAAATGTGAAAAGTTTTTGTATGTATGTGTACATACATACATTTCCGCTCTAGAAAGTTACATGATTGACTCCCTGGCTTCGATAACTAATTATATTACAAGTGTCTCTTTTGATATCAAATTTCATACGAATTATCAAACATCAACTATTATATAAAGAAGGTAAATTAAAACAAGCCATGGACTTACGTCGATCTGATTTCCAATAAATTGATGTCTCTGATAGAAAATGTTAAAATTTACAAAATATTTTAAAGTAACCACAGTTGTTCCTAGTAGCAAGCTGACGTCAAAATGATGTCTTTTGACGTCAAAATTATGATCTTTGACATCAAGATAACGACAAAATAACATAGTTTGCTACTAGAATCCTTTGATATTTTTAGTTTATTTTTTCATCTGAACTTCTTTTATTTTTCCTCTTATTTCTCTTCACGTTGGAGAAAAAAAAGAGGAAGAATGGTGCAAAAAATTCAGCTGAAAAAACAGATTTATTTTGTAAATGATAGCAAAACGATACATGAAAGGGAAAAGGAACGAAGAGAGATGAAAACAGGGAGAAAGAGAATCGCGTGTCGGTTCCTTGTGCATCGCTTCACGTTTAATGTTAAGAAAAATGGATAAAGAGAAGAGAGAGAGTTAGGTGCAAAAGTTAGACTTTTACCGTCAGAAAGAGCGTGTTTGGCGTGACTCAATTTAGAGCAATCCCCACCTCCGAATTTTTACTGACCGATATCATCGGCTGCAGTCGATGCTCAAGGTAGCTGCTGTAGCGCTGGTTAAACGCTAGGAAGAAGATGCAGACAGACGCCAGAGCTATCAGACAGTAGAAACTCAGCCGCTTCGACATCCTTAATCCTAGAAAGCGCAGGAACTTGAAAAGACAAAAGATCATTTATACAGATTGGCGCAATGCACAATATACGATGGGGCGAGAAATGCGATTGCGATTATAAAGTTATCGATAAGATATTTTTCGATAAGATTCGGAAAAACATTTATTTATAAATATTATTTATCAAGACAATAATAAATTATTTTTATAAATAATCGTTAATCGAGTGCGATACATGCAAACGTAAATAAAGAAAATAATGGTCAATAATATGGAATAGTTAGGAATAAAAATAGTTAACAATACGTTTACAGTAAAATAATAATACATTTACATGTTAAAAAATTAATACTATAAAATAATATGTACATATTACACTTTTTATTAATTTATTATTATTGACTCTCTTGTATACACGATGGTCATTTCGTGTCCGGGATTAATTTTAACAAATATATAAGAATTATTAAATGATTCTTATATATACATCTTTAGAAAATATTTGTAAGATTGCGTATATTTAAAAAAAAAATTGTATATAAATAATAACTAATTACTTGTTCCTAATTTTCCGAAGAAAAGAAATGTGCACACGAATGAATACAATCGAGTGTACTAAGAGTTAATTTTTTAACATGATAATAAATTGTTAACTTTTTTTATTCTTCTTAACTATCCGTGGTTAATGTTTTTTTCATTATTTTTCTAATTGGGTCACTGGTGCCCGATTGTTTTTTTTTCAAAGGATTTTTAAATTCTAGAAAAATCGGAAAAAAATTCTGGTATACTCTTTTAACATTCACGAATATAAATTATATGACTTGAAACGTTTTTCATTTTTACGTGTCCGAATTTGAAGCAGAATAATTTAAAATTGAAAATTCGGTTGTTTAAAGTTCCTGTTGAATCACGGAAAGTTAAATAGCTCATTGATCATATGTTCTTTACTCAAACAATGTATTACAAAAACATAACGTGATAGAATTTCATAAATTTACTCGATATTTTGCACAATGAATGAACTTTCCTCGATTATTGGAATAACATGAATGAAACTTCAAAGTTCAAAGGGTGATATAGAAAAAGAAATGAATATTAAACATTTTATTTTTCGGACTGAATGTTCGAAACGCAAAACTGTTCACAATAATTAAATGTTACACGATTAATTACGCCGCGTTAAATGAAAACTCGTACGAGTCTGAGTCTTCCCGTACTTATTAAAAATTTCTTTGTGTAATCATGCGATAAGAATTGGCGGTGTGTTCAATTAAATAAAATACTACAGGGGATAACCTCGGGATAATTTTTTTCTTTCTTCTCTGCGGCAATAAACGGAAGCGCGATAAGATACGAGCGCAACGAAACAATCGATCGGAATTAAATCAACGGCACAGAAACAGGAGGCGATTCGTCTCACCTTCCGCGAAATATAATCCGCTAAATAAGGCCTTGCCATGACTCGTCCTCGCTTATACTGATGGAAAACGCCGTTTCTTCATCGCGATCAAATACCGGTGATCGTCGCACGTTGCCGCGACACGGCATAATAGCGAAAAAAAAAAAAAAGAAACTGCGAAATCACCACGAGCAGTATTCAGAAATCCGATTTGCAAAATCTCGTCAAAACTACGTAACTATTTACTTAATTACTTATTAAATTTCAATAAATATTTGTTTGAATGATGAACTAACTACATATTTACTTACAATAAATAAACATTTACTCAATAAAAAATGATACTTAAATCAAATAAACGATTCTAAATGTACCAAATAAGTCTATATATTTATGTTATTTAATAAATATAAGTTAGTACTATTTAAACAATTTATTAAAATTTAGTAATTTTTTTCAGTGCACTATCGAATTTTGCACAGCAATTTCGCATTACAATAGTATATAGTAAAAGCTGCTATACGTGAAATTAGCAAAATTAAATGTAAAAACATATGAATATTTTAAACGATAAAATACCCGATAATAATATCGTCACATTATTTAATAGAGTAATAGTATAGATATATGTATTGCATTTCATTCGAAGTTGATTATATTATATATAATGCTACTGCATTAAGTACTTTATATATAACGCAGTTATTAACTGTACACTAATCAAGTGAGTGAATTCACTATTAAATGCGCCATACACGCACCGAGTCACGCACACGTTTAGCGTCCAGCTGATTTTTTAACCCATTCTAAAATTGCATAAGCATAATTGTTAAGTGGTTGTAGTTGTAAGAATTGATGAGTCACAATCTATCATGTATGAAGAGAATATTCAATTTTACGATCGATCAATTCTTACAATAGGGTTGTCATAAAACTGGAAATCACAGAATTATCAGGTCAAATTGGAAATAATCAAGAAAATCTGGGAAAAGACGGGAAAAATTTTTTGGAAAATTAACATTTTTACCTTTACAAAAGTTTAATATTTGTACATCAGACCTATATTATTTTGGAATATTACCAACTTAATAATTAAATGTAAGCAGTGTCCAGCACTTAGCAATGTTAATTAACATTGTTAAATTGCTGTCTCAACAAAACATTTGAGAGATAGTTCCTAAATCAGAATAAAAATACAAAAAAATTTCAAAATATTGAAAGCACCAAAAAAAATCACGAAAAATTTTGTTTATAAATCAAGGAAAAATTAAGAAATTTTAGGATGAGGAATTTTTGTGACAATCCTATAGAATTACACGGAAAGGACGATTTTATTAAATAGGTTATCTAAAACTTTAAGATACAAATTTTAGATATAGATCTAAAAATAATTTTGCTGGATTACTAAATAATTATGTGACGCTCAAATTGATTACTAAAATGATAACATTTTTAACATTGTTCATCATGCTTGATTTTCTTATGTAATTATATAGTCCAACAATTATTTTTCAGATCTGAAAAATAAATGTATCAATTTATAGATAATGAACATGACCAAACTCAATTATTGGACGAAATGATATAAAATTTTTTAAATATTAAATTTTTAATGATATGTAGAATTCTAGATAAATTTGTTTATAAAAGCTTAATAAGACGAATTTATTTAGGATCATACATATCATTAAAAGCTTAATATTTTTGTTATTTTATCCAATAATAGGATTCTGCTCACTAACTGATACATTTACCTTATCTAGCTAAAATTTTAAATGTTTCAGCAAAATCGTTTCCGTGCTACGTTTACAAATGCAGAAAATGGGTTCGCGGATTCGCGAACATGAGAAGAATTTGCATGTCGATAATTCGAAACTCCACTGAATTCACTTTTCTGCCGATTTTCCGATCGCTCGTTCGTTTGCACGTAGGGGAAGGTGGAGTAAGACCGGCTTGTTTACGGGATGATCACACGTGCATAAGCAACGCGTTCCGCTCGCATGTTCCGGGAACGATGAGAAAAACGACGTCGTTTCGAATAGATGCGAACAGTGGACAGCGCGCGCGAACCACGATCACATATTCATCTAATCGTCTCCGTCGGTTGCACTCCCTCTCGGCCAAAAGTGCAGCGGACACGCTTCTCCGTTTCGTTCCTCGATAATTACGCGGCGATAAGCAGCGGCCACGAAAACTCGAGAGATCGGTGGCAGAGGAGAAGCAGGATGAAGAGGAGGTGGAAAAGGAGGTGGCGGCTACGCTCTTTATCGCGTCCGCCAAATGCAATGGAATTCTCTCTTTTTTTCTCTCACCTCGGAATCGTGCTCGTGCACTCGCTGCCGTACATTCGGCCAGCTAAATTCAATCACGATGTTGGAGTGACAATGGGAGTTGCAGTGACGAGCCGCGGGCCGCCTCGAGGACGCTGCCGGTAGAGAGTAACGACGACGACGTTCATCGCGTCAGCCAACGACGCTCGTGGCCTACTAACGAATTGGCCAAACGCGTCGAAAGCGAGAGAGTAAACGAACGGCAGAGCCGTATTGCGGCTTGTGCCAGGCGCGTCGTGTAAGCGCAGTACGCTGCACACAGTTGGTGCGTTCGGAGAAACGCTATTAGTGCTATTTGTCATTCTATCCTTGTTTTTTGTCTAATAAACAACGAAGATAGAATGATAGAAGTAGCGCTAATAGCGTTCCCCCGAACGCACCAACTGTGTCACGAGGTTCTCTCAGGTTCGGCTGCACTCCGTGCACTCTCTCCATTCCACATTAGTCTGTACGTATTGTTTGAAATCCCCAAAATATATTTTTGTACTTGAAATTATATATATATGTACTAAATATGTTTATAAATATATATATTCAGGTATTGAAGAGAAAGAGAGTGAAGATGCTTAAGTCCAAAAAGTGCAAGTAACGCGACACACAATTCCTTCCGGAGCTCGCTGTTTTAATTTGTTTGTTCACGCAAACACACTGCAAAGAATTTTCAAGCGCAATATGACGATGCGTACATTTTGGATTTTGCACAGATTTATTCACTTGATGACTCAGATTTATTTATTATTTTTATTTACGCTTTTCTCCTTTTCTCGAAAGTTTAGATATGTATAATATGCATGACTGTGCTGCATCTGATCTGAGAAAGTGTAAGAGATGGAGATTTATTTATTCGCAATTTAAAAAAGTGTTTTTAATGCGGAAAATTTTAATTTAATATTTCAGCTGATGTGTAGAGATTAGAACAGTTTTTTAAATATATATTTTAATTAATTCTTAATTTAACGAAATATTTATAAAAATTTATATTATATGATACAATTAATGATCTTCCTTTCCAAGCGTCGATAAGATAAAATGTATATATATTCTTGCGTTATAATTTTTTATGTGGATAAACGCGTAAACACATTTGTGATGAAAAGAATTCTTATTTATAATATTAGAAAAAGTTTCTTCGTATTTAAAAAAATTTTTTGCAAAAGTTTTTCATTTGTTGCGAAATTTTCGTTACAATTATATCATTTGCTAGAGCAAAGTTTCAGCTTTAAGAATCTGTTTTTTAAATTGCGGTATGATGATTTTTATCGGAGTTATTAGCAATCAAAATTAGAATACTTCTTTACTTAATTTGCGAATAACTTAGTAATACAAAATTATAGGAACATTTTTAAAAAATGATTTTGTAGGGAAAGCTTCAAGCTTTCACGACAGGTAGTCGAAAATTTTCGTACATTTTTTTTGTAAAAAACATTAACTTACTCTTCCTCTTTTTCTAATCTTTAGAACTAGAAAAAGACGAAGATTAAGTTGAACCGAGATTAAAATTAATCTATATGAAAACGGACATTAAACAGTTAAGATCTAAGATATTTATGAGCAATAATATTATTAATATTATTAACTTGCTTGTCAATTTAATTTATAATATTACTACTCTAATTCTGTTTTAGAATTGCATTTCAAGATTGAAAATTAAATTTGAAGCACAGTTTGCAGGATTGGACATCAGGATTAATAAAAATCATATTTTAAACTGTTTGAAACATATTTGATTGATGTTTTTAACATGTTTTTTTTATAATATTGAAGCATGCATGAAGCATGTAATACTGAAGCATTAAAATAATGTTAAAAAAAACAATATTCTTTTAAAAAAAAATCATTATCTTTCATGAATTCTGGATATGTAGTATAAATTTATATGAAATTATTTAAGTACTGAAGATCCAGCTTCACTGTTTAGGGTCTTTATTCCTATTTATTTCTATATCATGTATATTTATATTATTTTTAGCAGCGAAATAAGTCAATTAGCAGCGAAAGCCTGTTCTGCAATGTGCTTTTTGTTTCTTGTTTCTTGCTTTTTGTTATTTATTATATCTTGCCTTTTTGCTTCTTATCTCGTTTTTCGTTTTCTGTTGTTCGAGATAAACATTAACGAACACTTCAGAAAAAAATACATATCAAGAAATATAATTGTTGATTAAAACGATTATAAAAAGAAAAAGGTAAAAAATAAGAAACAAAGAGTATATTATTGAGCAGCAGAAAAACAACCATTACATGCGCGTTTTCGCTATTACCGACGCGTATTGCGTCACAGTAGTACACTCGGCTACTGTCACGTGACGCCAGTAGCGCTGGCGCGAGGCTGTATTCACCCGGTTCACCCCGTCCGTCCGCGTTTCGTGCCGCACTTCAGTCGGATGCTGACACTCGAGCGGTGCGTTTGTTACCGCGGAAGTTGCTCTCGCAGCGCGCGCGCGCGTAACCCTTTCCTTTCAACGCTCTGTCTCCCTCTCTCTTTTTCTGTCTCTCTGACGGACGTGACGTGCGAATCGTAGTCACTTTCGTTTGACTGAAGGACATCGAATTATCAGTATCAGTCTCTTCTCTCTCGTTCATCACGCCGCGTTCTCGTTCGGTGCTTTCTCGACGACAGACGCAATACACATACATAACGCATACGTACTCCCGCGTGCGCCTCTCTCACTCTCTCTCTTTCTCTCCCTCCCTTTCTCCTGTCTGTCCTTCATCCCTTTCCACTCATCGGGGCGAGCCGAAAACTCGTTATGCTCCCAGTATCCCGTCTCAAACCGGTAACATCTCGCTATTAGCGAGAGAAGGAGAGAGAGTGTGCGATCTTCGTCGTCGTCTGCGAAGGCGAAAGATCCTTTGAGTTACGGGTGAAACAAAAACGCGTCCCGGCGAGATGCGTCGCGCCGCATCGCGCCGCTCTACTCTCCGCGTTGACTCCGCGTGACCAGCGCGAGTGGAGTTCCGCGCGACGGGACCGCGGGAGAATTTCGGGAAGTGCGCCGCGATCCCCGGTGCAATTCGCCACGACCACCGCCGGCTGTTCGACGTCCCGACAAACGGGCGGCCCTGGAGGAGGACGTGGACGAGGAGAGAGGTGGAGGAGGAGGCGAGGAAGAAGAAGAAGAAGAAAAGGAGCATTTCGGCTGCTGGGAGGATGCGAGATTGAGCTGCTGCTGCTGTTGCTGGTGAGTATCTTCATGTCTCTCCGCCGTTATGATGCGACCTGAGGGAGTAGAGACCTTGTAATAGAATCCGGTCAGTTGAGATTACTCAGATGACAAATTTTTTATTTGTCCGTCATTTTTGACAACTTCAGCAAGTTAGAATGAGATAGTTTTCTCTCTAAATTCTTTGGAGTGGAATCTCATTCTAAAGAGTGAAAATTAAACCGGTCTTCTTGAAAAAGAATGGTTCAATTTTCAACCTTTAAGAGTGAAATTTTACTCTTCAGAGTGACAATCCACTCTATAAGTTTTGAAGTATATAAAAAGTATATAAAATAGACAGTATTGATGCTTTTCAGCAAGAGAATATGAGAGTAATTATTTCATCTTTGTTTAATATGGCAAACAATAAGGATGTTATGATTCATTGTATTATTGTCATCTATCTCTTGTTGAAAAATACAACACTATATATATAATATACATGAATTGTATATAAAGTAATTCCGATATATACGCCACACCTAACAAAAATTAATTTATTAAATATTATATACTATGAAAAAAAATTAGAAATTCGAAATACTTATTTTTCATATTAAAAAAAGAACTTTGAAATTCTTGCATTTTTTGCTGAATATCTCATAGGGTGGCTACTCACTGGAAAGGGGGGAGAAGGTGGGATGTATGGCACACGAAAAATTTACAATAATGCTTATAAATAAGAGTAAAATGACATAATAACTTATAAAGTGTATTTTGAAAGTTTTATTAAGGAATAATAATAATAAGTATGTATATGAAATAATAAATAATAATTACAATCTTTTACATATATTACAAGTGTTATGACGTGAAGTACATATTTCAGGTAATGTATTTATTGCATTTAGTGTACTGAATCCAATCTGCGCACTTTGTATACTTTGGGCATGTCCGCTAAAAATGTCATATATCCTCCTTCCTCTCCCCCCCTCCCTCAAATAGGTGAAATATACAAGATATCAAGTTGAACAAAGAATTTAAAAGCTAAGCACTTATATTTTACTATACTCTATTTTTTACTATCCCTTATGTATCACCAAATAACCATTAAGCTTTTTGCAATCTTTACAATAATCATTTTATATGAATTATGATATATGATTGCGCTATTCACTACATTGACAAATCGATTCAACTTAGATAGTAATTTTAATATTATCAGTAAGAAATCATAATACAATATTAATATAATATATAATATAATACAATATTAATGTAAAAATATACAACAGAATTGTTGCACTTTATCCTATTTTTTCTGACTTCTGCGGCGTAAATATCGGAGTTATTCCATTCAAAAGGGTATATGAAGAAAGAATTCTTACTTTTGCTTTGATAAAATTGTTCGTAAGTGGAAACTATATTCGAGTTTGGAGAAGGGTTTTGTCAAAATATTACATGAGAGAAGATATATCTACGTAATTTCTCTCTATAGTATGTACGCACGCACGCACGCACGCACGCACGCACGCACGCACGCACGCACGCACGCACGCACACATACATATATATATTATCTCATTCTAACTGTTTCACTCTATAACTTTAATTAAAATTATAGAGTGAAACACAGTGGAAGTTAGAATGGGATAACACATATTAGAAAGAAATTATACATACTTTCTCTGTCATAGGATTTTGACAAAATCATTTGTAGCTAGACTCTGATACAGGATCTCTATGGGGGAAGGCCAATGAAATCGCGAAAGTGATCCAAAGATTGCTTGATTTCACCGACGTCGCTCGACGCTATGGAGCGCTATCTCAATTTTTCTCTTTTTACTCTTCAATTCTCTAATTGAATTTGGTTAAAGAATATTTTAATTGGTATTCTTGTTTTGTCTGCGATACTGGCAACAAAACGGCGACCGACTTAAATACTTTTATGAAGAATCGCATATAATTTGTTCACAGACAATTTGTGCATTGTGACGTTTAACGAGATTTACGTTTATGTGCAACGCTCGTTTTGACGTTAATCTTTTCCGCGAAGCATCATTCTTCTGGCATCTCGTGTCATGCAAAAAACAACATGACATGTGTGATTACTTATGCCTGTACTAATGTAGATTAACTTTAATCTCAGTCTTAATCTCGCTCTCTATCTTTTTCCTAATTCTTAGAATTAGAAAAAGATGAAGAATTATTTGAATTGAGATTAAATTTAAACTACATTGGTAGAAACGGACAGAGACCTGGTTCTATCAATGTAAGATAAACTTTAATCTCGATTCAATTTATTTTTTAGTTTTTTCTAATTCTAAGAATTAGGTTCAATTCCACCATAAAAGATTAACTGTAATCTCGAACTCCAAATTCGAATCCTGATTGAAATCATATTGAAATATTTTTTTGCGATTCGGAATATTTTTGTGATTAGCGATGCGTGTAATTAATTTTTTTACCGCTTGATGGCCGAAATGGTTCGTTAATGTATATACAGATCTATTTATAGTGAATTTTTATTGTAAACACAAAAGATTTTTACTGTAAACTGCTAAATATTCGCGATCAATTATTAATTATTCTATCTTCTTCCGGGATTATTGTATAACTAAAAAGTATAAAGGCAATTAATAACAACTAAATTACAAGCTAATTGATCCATAATAAAAAATGGGAACAATTCATGAGAACTATCTCACAAATAAACAAAACGAATTAACGCAGTCGTTTTTTTAAGATTAAAAAATATTCTGTTTTTCAATTGAATTTATTATTAAACATTTATAAAAATGAATATAATTGTAATTTCTAATGACAATTTTTTCATTATGATTTCGTTTTGTTTGAGATGTATATCGAGGAATTCTTCGATAATAATATCATACATAGAATCCTCAATCATCAGTATTGAGAATATCAATAATATCTGATAAATAATGTAAATATTGTCATTTACATTATGTATTAAATACAATTAATATCTCTCTTGATACAATACGCGAATTTTATCAGATCTAGCAACATTTCAGATGATACAATCGTAATTTAGCTTTTAGACGAATGATGGATGACACGCCAGGCGATCCGCGATAACGTTTATTCAATTGCGGCGTCGAGTAAGTAATAACCGAGTCAAATTAAATTAATGTTAATTATGTAACGCAAACTAAAGCGTGCTTTTGTAGCTTTCGCGGTTCGTTAACTCTTCAATTATATTATTAGGATATTGAAAAGTTATTATAGGATATTGAAAAGTAAAGCATATTTATTTATTCCTCACGTTATGATACATGTGTTAGCGAATGTGTATAACATTATTTCTAAATATAATTGTCTCACTTTGTACATTTTATGGTCCGCAAGTCTTATGATTCCATCTGCGAAGTAAGTTTTTGGCTGCCTTCGAAGCCACATCATTTCCTAAACTCTAAGATAATTAAAATTTGTCATTAGTCACACAGAGTTCTTTTTAATGATCCAAACAAATGGAAATTGGAAGTAGATATGAGATTTGCAAAATATGAGATTTGTTCGTGTTGCTTGAAATCCTCAAAAATTTAAATCGAGATAGATACTCGTATATTTATTCAAACGTTGAAAATAGAAAAAGTGAAGAAGCTGAGTGCAAGAAATATAAGCAAAGAAAACAGACCTTATATACAATAGCATTATACACCATTAAATTCATAAAGGTAAAATATATACTCTATTATACATCATTAAATTCATATTGAAAAAGTAAAATATACTCTATTTGAGTTATTTTTAATTATTTTTATAATTTCGCTACTGTTTCCATTCAATATAATATAATAATATGTCGTTACTTTCGTTAGTGCAATTAAAACAATTGAGTTGAACAATTTAACTCAAAAACTGTATTAAATTTGAGTAAAAGCTTTTTTGTTAAACACGTACATTAATATGGATGTTATTTATTTAGAAATTAAGCAATTCAACCGCAGAAGTGGATTGATTTTCATTTTGACATGTATGAAAGGTAAAAATAACAAAATATTAATTAACTTAATTAAGGGATGTGTCTGAATTTTTAAGTTCATAGAAGCTCACGGAAATTAAAATTATCTTTAATAAAATTAGAATTTTTCTTTCTTTTTCCATTACTAGCATTATGATTTGTGCTAATATTTAAGTGATGAAATATTTGGTTGAGTTTATCAAGGTTAATAAGTAAACAATTTAACATTATTCTGTTTTGAATCGGTTTGTGCGCTTGAGGGGATTCATTTCTTTAGGCCATTTGTTAGATCCGGTTTTTTGCTGGACTTTTCTATTTCGATCATCATGAAACCGTGGTGATCATGAGACTTAAATTCTCTTTCTAAAAACACCTAATGACTTTTTTTCCCCGATAGTGTAGGTTGGATATAGCAGAGAAATTATCAAATTTTTTAGTTGACTTAAAGTTTAGGGAGCAGTACATATGTGGCTTCGCAAGGACAGCCAAGAAACTTTCGCAGACAAAATCAGAAAACTTGTTGATGATACATAAAATGTGTTGCAAAGCCATTATATTAAATAATAATGTTGTATATATTTTGCTAACAAATATTGTATGTGAAGAATAAATAAATTTACTTTACTTTTGATTTCCTTTCGTATTATCAACTTCGAATTTTGGAATCACATTTTTCATGCACGATAGTAAAGGTCCCTCGAATCTTTTTCAAATCGTGAAAATCGCCTTTTTTTTGAAGCAGCTCAATGTAACGCGCAAACAACGAATGGCGTTTGATTACAGTGTAAGCTCGTTACGACGAGCTTCATGTCGGATACTCTAGCGTCGCTTTTGCTGTATCGAGGCTTCGTTGTGACGGTATATACATACATATATATATATATATA